AAAGGGGCCATGGGGCGGGGGAGACGGGGCACGGTCGGGCAAGGGGTGGGGGGAGCACGGTCGGTCGGTCGGTCGGAATATAGGCAGACGGGGGGGCCACGGGGCGGAGGAGCGCGGGGGGGGCACGGGCGGTCGGCCCGCCGGAATCAAGCAGACGGCGGGGGGGGGCCACGAGAGGAATGAGGGGGGCACGGGGGGGGCACGCTCGGGCAAGGGGGGGCACGGGGCGGTCGGTCGGATTGAGCAGGCGGAAGGGCAACCGGGGGAAAGGGGGGGAGCACGGCGGGCCGCGAATCAGGCTAGGGGGGGGCAGGTCGGCCGGTCGGCAGGGAGGGGGGGGGGCCACGTTGAGCAAACGGGGGGGGGGGCACGGTCGGTCGATTGGTCGAGAATATTAAGCAAAAAAGGGAACATGGGGCGGGGAGACGGGGGCACGGTCCCGGGCAGGGTGGGGGGCACGGTCGGTCGATTGGTCGGAATATAAGCAGAAAGGGGCCATGGGGCGGGGGAGACGGGGCACGGTCGGGCAAGGGGTGGGGGGAGCACGGTCGGTCGGTCGGTCGGAATATAGGCAGACGGGGGGGCCACGGGGCGGAGGAACGCGGGGGGGGCACGGGCGGTCGGTCCGCCGGAATCAAGCAGACGGCGGGGGGGGGCCACGAGAGGAATGAGGGGGGCACGGGGGGGGGCACGCTCGGGCAAGGGGGGGCACGGGGCGGTCGGTCGGATTGAGCAGGCGAAAGGGAACCGGGGGAAAGGGGGGGAGCACGGCGGGCCGCGATCGGGCAGGGGGGGGCACGGTCGGCCGGTCGGCAGGGGGGGGGCCACGGTTGAGCAAAAGGGGGGGGGGCACGGTCGGTCGATTGGTCGGAATATAAGCAGAAAGTGTCCAATGGGGGCGGGGGCCATGGGGCGGGGGAGACGGGGCACGGTCGGGCACGGTCGGGCAAAGGGGGGCACGGTCCGTCGGTCGGAATGAGCAGACGGGGGCCACGGGGCGGAGGGGGCGCGGAGGGGAGCAAAGAGACGGTGCACGGTCGGTCGGTCGGTCAGAATAAGCAGACGGGGAGACGGGGGCCACGGGGCGGAGGGGTGCGGGGGGAAGCAGGGGGGCGGGAGGGCGCGGTCGGGCAAGGGGGGGCACGGTCGGTCGGTCGGTCGGAATAAGCAGACGGGGGCCACGGGGCGGAGGGGCGCGGGGGACATGAAGAGCACACGGGGGCGGCGCGCATCCCAACGCACATTTTGGCCCAGAGACCCCAGTACACCCCTGCACATATCCCAGCACACGAAAGCAGCACACGTCCCAGCACACGTCCCAGCACACATCCCAGCACACATCCCACTCCAGCGCACATCCCAGGCACGGTCGGTCGGTCGAACGAAATAATGAAGAGCTAGATCATACCCGTAGGTATGATCATATTCCTGCTGTAGATGGACATGCCCTGCTTAAGACCAGTGCGGGCTGTGAGCAGCCACAGGTTCCCCCCGCAGGGAGAATGCATGCATCTCGCGCGTCTTAGGCACTCTCTATGGTTCCCCAATCAGAGCTTGCCTTTGTAGGGGCCCTAGCGGATGCATATGGTTAGGTGAGGTTCGCCGCCGATTTCGGTGGCCGGCCTGGGTGCCCGGGTGCCCGGGTGCCCGGTTGTCCAGGTGCCCAGGTGCCCGGGTGCACGGGTGCCCGGGTGCCCCGGTGCCCAGGTGCCCATGTGCCCTATTGCCCGATTCCCCTATTGCCCTATTGCCTTCTAACCTTATACTCTATAGCCCTAATAGCCCTGTAGCCCTGTAGCCCTATAGCCCTATAGCCCTATAGCCCGATAGTCCTGATAGCCTTATAGCCCTATTGCCCAATAGCCTTATAGCCCTATGGCCCTAGAGCCTTATAGCCATACAGCTCTGCCCTATATCCCTGTAGCCCCAGAGCCCTATAGCATTACAGCCCAATCGCCCTATAGCCCTAAAGCCCCATGGCCCTGCAGCCATATAGCCCTATAGCCTTATAGCTCTATAGACCTG